CCCAGGCTGCCATCTTGGATTATGGATCGACTTCAAAGTAACAACACTTGATCAGCATCTCATAAGGAACATTCATGCCATGTTTGGTTTCATTACATTCAGTGGTTCTCTAGAAGAAGTTCAAAATGTAAAAAAATAACGACGACGACGGACGACGAAGACCGACGACGGACGCCAAGTGATGAGAAAAGCTCACTTAGCCCTTTAGGCCAGGTGAGCTAAAAATATTAGTTATTGTAAAATAATTTAAAATAACATGAACATTCCTTTTTATTAAATTATTTGTTTGATCTCAAGGTGAACCAATCAAGATCACATGTCATCTTCAATGGTATGTGACATATTGTTTTGAGGTGATAAAACCATATACTAAGGCCACACCAATTTGATGTTCCTCCGACACCTGCTCCAAAAAATATGGTATGAGCGAGCAAATTTTTTTATATCTTTTGTTTTTTTCTTGAAAATGAGTTTTTTTACAGGCGAGTGCTCTACAAGAGAAGTGAGTTGATAAATTGTGTGATTCAGAAGTTGTACAATTTATGTACATATCATAACTGGTTTACTTCATAGAACAAGAGGCTCATTAGAGCCTGATATCGCTCACCTGTAACTTCAGTTTCAGGCATTTGACTTATCTGTAGATCTTACTTTGCTGAACAATTTTGTCATTTACACTTTCTCTCTTTTTATAATAATATTAAAGATAATATATAACCCAAAACTGTAAAATTTCCTAAAAAATAACTATTTCTGGACAGTAACCCAACAATAAGTTGTCCTATTGGTCTAATGATTACTTGACAGGTAGATCTAAACCTGTTTAACACTTTCACCTATGTCAGTTTTGCTCTTACTGCTTTAGTTTTTGAGATGAAAGACAAAACTTCATTTGACCCCTATGTTTTATTTTTAGAAACTGCCGCTATGTTTTTTAATGGGACAAATCCCTAAATACATTCTATAAACTAAATACCCTAAGGAACATTCAATTAAAGTTTTTAAGTATTTGGCCTAGTAGTTTCAGAGAATAAGATTTTTGAAAAAGTAATTAAGACTTTCACAAATGTTAAACAAAAAACGTTTAAAGGGCAATAACTCCTCAAGGGTCAATTGACTATTTTGGTCATGTCGACTTATTTGTAGATCTTACTTAGCTGAACATCTATTGCCATTTATACTTTCTCTCTATCTATTATATTATTAAAGAAAATAACCAAAAACAGTAGAATTTAATAAAAATAAATTATTCCAACAGTAACCCAACAATGGGTTGTCAAACTTGTCTGAAAATTTCATAACAGATAGATCATGACCCATTGATCACTTTAACTCCCTTTCACTTTTGCTCTAACTGCTGTAGTTTTTGAGATATAAGACAAAAACTGCTTTTGTCCCCTATGTTCTATTTTTAGCCAAGGCAGCCATGTTTGTTGATGGATCAAAACTTCAGATATAATTTATAAACTAAATACCTTAAGGAACTTTCAGTTAAAGATTAGAAGTCTTTGGCCCGGTAGTTTCAGAGAAGAAAATTTTTGAAAAAGCAATAGACTTGCATGAAAAAATGAAAAAAAATAAACGTTTCAAGGGCAATAACTCCTTAAGGAGTCAATTGACTATTTTGATCATTGGACTTATTTGTAGATCCTACTTAGCTGAACATTTTTGCCATTTACACTTTCTCTCTATCTTATAATATTAAAGATAATAACCAAAAACAGTTAAACATTTTATAAAAATAAAAAATTTCGGACAGCAACCCTACAATGGGTGGTCCAATTGGTCTGAAAATTTCATAGCAGATAGATCTTGACTTATTCATCTCTTAAAACTCCATGTCACTTTTGCTCTAACTGCTATAGTTTTTGAGACCCCTATGTTCTATTTTTAGCCATGGTGGTCATGTTTGTTAATGGATCAAAACTTCGGATACAATTTATAAACCAGTTACCCTAAGGAACATTCAGTTAAAATTTAGAAGTATAAGGCCAAGTAGTTTCAGAGGAGAAGATTTTTAAGTGTTAGCAAACTTGATGAACAAATTGTGTAAAATTGTCTTTAAAGGGCAATAACTCCTTAAGGGGTCAATTGACAATTTTGGTCATATTAACTTTTTTGTAGATCTTACTTTGCTGAAAATTTAGTGGCAGCAACCCAACAATGGGTTGTTTGGTTCGTCTGAAAATTTCAGGGCTGATAGATCTTGACCTATTGAACATTTTTATCATGTCAGATTTGCTCTAAATGCTTTAGTTTTTGAGATATAAGCCAAAAACTGCATTTGACCCCTATGTTCTATTTGTAGCCATGGCAGCCATGTTTGTTGATGGATCAAAACTTATGCTATGATTCATAAACGATATACCCTAAGGAACATTCAGTTAAAGTTTGAAGGTATTTGGCCCAGTAGTTTCAGAGGAGAAGATTCTGGAAATAGTTTACGACGACAACGACAGACGACGGATGATGACGGACGCCAAGTGATGGCATCAGCTCACATGGGGCACTAAAATTGAGGAAAACACAAATGCTCTAATGCATATAGTTTGATTTATTGGTGCCTGTACCATATCAGACTTGCTTGTCTTGCTGTGGTTTATTAATTTAATTAATTAATTTCAAATCAGCTTTTGTCTGCGTGAATTTTCATTTAAATCCATATATATATTTAGGAAGTATAGCAACCACTGCAACTTCATTTTTTATATAATAAAACTTTTTTGTAATTCATATCTGTTCTTATAGTACTCTTCTTTAGGATGAAGTTTGTATGAAAGCCGTTCAAGGGTTTTACAAGAAGAATTATGCTCGTTAGGTAAATGACACAAGTTGAATAAAATTAAAATATATGTGTATGTATCCAAACAAATGCCCCTGAAAGATATTTGATAGTTGTTGTCATTATACGGTAATGAATCTAATGATTGTTTATTTGCTGCTTAACATCCAATTGGAACTTTTCATCCATATTCAAGTTCAAAATAATGAGCATGCTGAATATTTCTTGCTTTGTATAAAAACAACATGCTTAGCAATATAGTTAGATTGCTACATGTAGATCCCAAGGTATCGAAATGTTCCCTTAAAATGCCTGTCACCCCATTCAGATACATTATTCTGACAGAGCAAAATACTCTTTCCTTTTACTCCTAATCATCTAAATCTCTTTAGCTTTTCTAGAAGTGATAGAACCAATTACACACCCCTAATTATGACGATATGCCAATCACAATACCATCACCTTGGTCTCGTTGGTACTCTTTAAGTTCCCCTTAACAAAAGACAAGTTCTTCTTGCATGACTAAAGACTAACAGGGGAATATGAGGTTTCATCAAAATCAAATACTTATGTGATTTTTTAAAATAAGTTCAGGGGAATTAACATTGTATTTCGTCCAAGACAGATCGGTATATCATGTTGAAACAAGGTTTTTATTTACAAATTGATCACATGGGCAATTGAAAAAAATAGAGTATTGTATACAACAGAAAAGCGTCTACGTGAAAAATTTCAAGAAGAAACTAATTTTGGAGCAGCATGGGGACCACAAATTTGAGGAAGCTGTAATTTTATTGTTATTTTGAAGTAAATTTTCTCCAAAACAGTAGCGGGAAAATCCAAAAACCTAGGAATCAAATTGGTGTGGCCTAAATATGAAAAAGCAGACAAGAAAGTATCCCCAAGATTTAAATAATTTGATCCTTAGGTCAAATGGCATGGTCACATAAAGGTCATTACAATACACAACACCACAATATAGTAATACACCTTCATACCAAGTATCATAAGTCAATGTCAAAAGAAAAAGGTTGTATTATTGGCCTATCGAGATCTTATTGTGCATGCCAATTTGCATGGGTATGTAAAAGAGTACATGTACGAAAATAGTTCTTTCTGAAATCTGTATAGAAAAGAAAAATATGAACTGAATATAAGAACAAGAGTCATGATTGAACTACGCTGGAAGTCTTTCAGATAAAGGTTTTACTACAATTATACTTAACATTATCAAAAATTCATGTAAATGAGGTCAAGGTCAGATCAGTCCTGAAAGACAGATTTACCAAACTCACAACTATTCCATACACAAATATTCTATACTTATCAGAACAAGAGTGAAATCGTTGAAATTTTTTGCTTGCTTTACTTATCATGATTGCAATAATGCTGAAAGTCTTTAAGATAAAGGTTTTACTACAAGTATTACATAAACTTAACATTATCAAAAATTCATGTAAATGAGGTCAATGACAGATGAATCCTACAAGACAGATCTACCAAACTTGCAACTATTCCAAACACAAATATAGTTGACCTACTACTTATTATAAGTAACTGAGACACAGACCCCATGAAAACTTAACATTGACAAATGAAACTTGAAAATGAGGTGAAGGGCAGATGAACCCTGTCTCATAGACATGTAGATCACGAAAGGATTCAATATACCAAATAATGTGATCTTATTACTATTACTATAAGAGAACAACTCATGTGACAAGTATGAGGTATTTTTTTTATTTACAAAACAGTTGTTTATCTTAGTCTGTTTATTGACAGACTGATGGTGTGTCAAAATATTGGGACGACCCTGCATTATGTCTTTCTTGAAATATATTGTGTCATGTTAATTTATCATACATCAAGTGCACCTGATTACAAGTATTTCACTTCTTCAACAAAAAAAACCAAGAGAAAAGTAAATGAATCAGGACCCCCTCCCAGGGACAGGTCAAATTTTGCTAAATATGAATTGTATAACAATGAACGACGACAACAGAATTTAGCGTTGGTAAACTTGTATTTTGTTGTCCCTGTTATGTCATATAATTATCGGCCTATATCCACAACTGACAAATTATTTGAGATAGGAAACCGTGAAAGCCTCTGAACTGACCAAATATACATAGCTGCAAATCATGTCTAAAGGGCACAGGGATGTAGTCCTTTTTGCTGTCAAGATATAAAATACATGGACTAATAATATACAATGTACCTCTAATATTCTTTGGAATAACTTCTTTCTGCTCAGCTTCTATTTTCATTATTTTCTCTTTAAGACTTGAATTTTCTTCTTTTTCTGCAATTATAAAAGAATTTTGATTATTTGGTATATTACCATGATAACATAAATTATCTGAACTCAAGGAATTTATTATAAGAAATTCTTATGCCAGACACATGTTTAAAATTGAGAATGGAAATGGGGAATGTGTCTAAGAGACAATAACCCGACCAAAGAGCTGAAAACAGCCCAAGACCGCCAATGGATCTTCAACACAATGAGAAAACCCCGCACCATGTGGCTGGCTGGGGTCGCCCCGATTTTCCGACGCCCCATTAGTCCGACACCCCTTTGGTCCGACACACCTTTAGTCCGACACCCCACTGGTCCGACACCCCATTAGTCTGACAAAAGTTAATTACTGCCATAATAGAAAATCTACTTCAGAGAATCATTGCTGACGTGGTATTTGAACTACTCTTTCTTGTACTATAAAAATAAGGAGGTGAGGTATGATTGCCAATGAGACGACTATCAACCAAAGTTGAAAAAAAGAGGATGTAAGCAATTATAGGCAACAGTACGGCTTCAACAATGAAAAAAACCCAGACCGTATAGTCGGCTACACTCTTGATTTGTATAGAGTGATAGAGGAGGGACGACATTCTAGGTGCCATGTGCAAAACATTTCATATTACGTTGTACGATTTCAGCTTCAGTTTGGCAATTTTAAATATTGTAAAAGATCGATTTGTACATGTTTTAAAATCAAATGTACTCTACTGCATTCATGGAAAATATAGCAAGTTTTCACAGAGAAAGATTTATTGATGATCGAAAATCACTTTTACATAAAAAAAGTTAATGTTTTTTTACTTTTTTTTGGTAATTTGCATCTTTGAAGATTATAATCCTTAATGGCGGGAATTTTATTCGATGTCTATAAAAGTACAAGACACAAGTTTGTGTTAATATTTCGTTAGTTCGCCAGTAGAAATCATTGAAATTTATAACAGTTAAAGAATATTGTGCATACAACATAACACATAAAAGGTCTCCTTAAGTCTCCATCCGTTGCTGCAAAGTTCGACGCTAACAAACAACGATTTTCAAATACAAGAGTGCACACGCTGAAATGTCTCGCCTTCTTTACTAATCATTGATATTATGTTGATAGTCCTAAATATAAAGCTTTATACAACTGTCACATAAACTTAACATTAACCAAGAAAACTAAACATTGACCAATGAACCATGAAAATGAGGTCAAGGTCAGATGAACCGTGCCAGGCAGACATGTACAGTTAACATTCTTCCATATAACAAATATAGTTGACCTATTGCTTATAGTTTAAGAAAAACAGACCAAAACACAAAAACTTAACACTGAGCAATGAACCGTGAAAATGAGGTCAAGGTCATATAAAACCTGCGTGACTGACATATAGATCATAAAATATTTCCATACACCGAATACAGTTGACCTATGGCATATAGTATTAGAAAAAAAGACCAAAACTCAAAAACTTAACTTTGACAACTGAACCATGAAAACGAGGTCAAGGTCAGATGACACCTGCTATCTAGACATGTACACCTTACAATCATTCCATACACCAAATATAGTAGACCTATTGCATACGGCATAAGAAAAACTGGTACGCACATATCAAATATAGTTATCCTACTACTTATTATAAGAGAGAATTTAACATTACAAAAAATCTTAACTTTTTTTCAAGTAGTCACTGAACCATATGAAAATGAGGTCAAGGACATTGGACATGTGACTGACGGAAACTTCGTAAAATGAGGCATCCATATACAAAGTATGAAAAAATAATCAAGATCTTCCAGCTTCTAAAATATAAAGCTTTCAAGAAGTTAGCTAACGCCGCCGCCGCCGCCACCGCCGCCGGATCACTATCCCTATGTCGAGCTTTCTGCGACAAAAGTCGCAGGCTCGACAAAAATGATAAATATATTTGTCAAATACGTGAATAAATACGTAATCCTTAAGCATAAAAGCTATTTTTGTGTATTTTGATTATATTCAAGATAAAATGAAAATGTTTCACCCAAAAAAAACATGCATTAAAATAGCTTTTAAAAATTGTGCATAATTTGTGTAGTGGTCAGCTCTGTTCTCTAAATGTGTTTTCTCAATTTTTATTTTTTTGTTGTTAATCTTTATTTCTCAATAAACCATTTACAGTGGAATGGTACAGAGAACACATAATATTAGTAACAAATCAACATATATGAGAGAGATGTCAGCCCGGATCACACAACCCTTTATTAACATTTCTTTCACTATGACAATTGTGTTCATATTGATCTTTCATACTTTGAAGAACTGTGTTTACCAAGCATCCTTTGTTAATAAAAGTTTGTGTGTTCCATACATATGCCAATCCACAATCATTGAATATACTCATTATACTCGATAGCCATGGAGACCCTACAATATTCAATTGATAAATCAGTTTGTATGTTATAGAGGACAGTTTCGAACTTTTACCCTCAATTAATTTTGTCCAAAACGATACAAATCTTGTTTTTATATGTATTTCGAGAGGAAACCTTCCGAGTTCGCCATATACTATAAAAGACGGTGTTGATGATTTAAGTTGTAAAATCATCTAACAAAACTTTAAGTGAACCCTTTTAATGATATCGTTGTTACCTGTGCCCCATATTTCGCAACCGTACAAAAGAGCTGGCACGACCATTTTATCAAATAGGTCCAACTGTTAGTAGACAAATTGTGTAATTTTCCTAGCTTTAAAACCTCATACATGGCTTTTAGGCCTTTACGAGAGGCTTCTTCCTTGGCTTTTTTTTAAGTTTCCATTACGGTTGAGTAAAACTTCCAGATAGTTAAAATCTTTAATTGTCTCTATAAAATTTCCTCTATATTGAAATTCTATTCCACTTGGGATTCTTCCTCTCAAAAATATTACTATTTTTATTTTGTCTATATTAACCTTTAGTTTCCATTTTTGCAATAGCTCGAGAACAAATTTAATAACTGATATTGCAAGTCAGAAGGGTTTTCAGCCATAATAACAGTTTCGACGCGTATAGAATAGCAAATAATTTAATACTAGTATAGATATCTAATTTTTCATTAAATTCTGCACTTATTGAGGTTAGGCCTTTAATGTTACAGCTTTTTCTAAAATTATCAAGATCATTTAGTAAATATCAAAAAGAAAAGGCGATAGATTTTCCCCTTGTCGTACTCCATTTAAACAGGAAAAATATTCTTATACTTCGTTGATATAAACGATTCGTGATTTTGTATCTTTGTACATGTTTACTATGGCGTTGTACATGTTCCCATTCATGTTATTTACTAAAAGTTTGTACCATAACCCGTCTCGCCAGACAGTGTCAAATGTCTTTTCGAAGTATACGAATGCACAGTACATCTTTTTCTTTTTTGATTGTAAAATATGAAAAAGAGATTGCAATACAAACAAATTATCTAATGTGGAGTAATGTTTTCTAAACCCACATTGATTTTCACATAAAATTAAAAATTCATCAGAGAACTCTGTAGGTATATCATTGAGGACTGCGGTAAACAATTTTCCTATGCAACTTTAAAAGGTTATTTTTTAAATTTGTAAAGATAAATGAAGAATGAGTACACTATTTATGATTCCATAATAAATAAAATTTGGTCTGTGATTTGCAAATAAAGAATGTGACGGGGTTAATTGTTTGTGCGCGCTCAACCCTCCCCTAACCTAGGACAGTGGTGATACAGCACAACATAAGTCTTTTTGAACAAACCTGTTGTTCAGTGGTTGTCGTTTGTTGATTTAGTTCAAAAGTGTTTCTCGTTTCTCGTTTTTTTTAATATAGATTAGACCATTTGTTTTCCTGATTGATTTGTTTTACACTAATCATTTTGGGGCCCTTTATAGATTACTGTCCGGTGTGAGCCAAAGCCGTGTTGAAGGATGTACTTCGACCTATAATTGTTTACTTTTTGCACATTGTGTTTTGTATGGAGAGTTGTCTCATTGGCACTCATACCACATCTTTTTATTTCTATATAAAAATCAGTTGAAAATGGCTTAACTTATCAGATCGATACAAAGCAGAAAAGCATCAAACATAAACACAGATCGTACGTGGCAGGGCATTTTTCATCCCTCATCCCTAACAACAAAAGGGACACAAATTACAGATCTGAGAGAACTCGCAGTGTTACTGACAGCTAGTTCAAAGCCAATAACAACTAATAAAAAATCATGTATCTTAGACTTAAATATTAATTAGTTTACATCCAACATCCAATGGATTTATTTAGTGTCAAGACTTCATTAACAGTCAGAGAAAAACTTGACTTTGTGCAATTCTGATATAAAATTAACAGGTTGTAGTACCGTTAAAGTGCATATGTGTACAACACATCTATTCAGTATGATTTTAATTTACTGATAATCAAATCAATATTTGTACCAATAAAAACAACAAAAACAAAATTCAAAGATCTATTTACAGTGTTGAATTGAACTTTTAGAATAACTTTATTTTAAGGATTGATAAGTTTACCCGGATCGTATATAATATCCGGGGCTCAGTGAACAACATCACCGTAAAATTTAAGATGTGCTATTCCGTCTGAAATGTTTTTTCACATGTACAACCGAACTTGCAAACCAATTCTTAGTATCTATGGAAGAATTTAATACAGATTTTAAGTAATTTGTGGTAACGAAATCCCTGACTTAATAATTTACCAGTAATATACATAGATTACGCTAGTTGAAATCCAAAATGGCATTACAGACATGGACATAACGAACGAATTGGGATATATAAACACTGTAAGATTGTGCCAGAGGAACATCACCGTCCAAAAAAGGATAATTAACAATAGGGAACAAAAAATCATCCCTTTTGTCGTAACTTTTGGTGCAGAGTTTCTGGGGTAAAACTTGAATATCTAAGTCTAGGAATAGACACTTATTGCTGTTAATATTTGATATATTAAAAGAAAGTTGCTGTGGTTAAATTTCGACAGTATATCTAGAGAATTCTTGATTATTTAACGAAAA